CTACGCGTGCGCGGGCGAGATCGGGCCCCCCTCGCCCGGCCCGGGCTACGCGCGCCACGCCCTGGCGGGCGCCGCCGAGGCATTCAACGCGGCTGGGCTCGTCACGCACGACGTCGCCGCGGAGTCGCAGACCGCCGGGGCCCCCGGCGCGAGGCTCGACAGCCAGTCGCGCCAGACGGTGGTCAACCATCAGTGCCGGCAGAAGGCGCGGCTCGGAGCTCGCTGGGCCCTGGTACACGTGCGCCCGGCTGGGCGAGAGCTCGAGGTCTTGCTCGGCCGCCGCGCACTCGTCGGTCCGATGCGTCGCGCCGTCAACGCGTTCGTCCGCGAGCGGTGCTGGGCCGAGGGCGAGGCCCCGGGCATCGCGCGGTCCGAGCTCGAGCGCATCCTGGGCCTCGTGCCGCTCCTACGTTCTGAGTGGGATCGGGCGCCCGCGGGTGCTGCCCGCGGGCGCCAGCCCGCGCGGCCCCGGCGTCGCTCGCTCAGATTTCGGGCCGTCAGAGGCAACAAAATAAGCATAAAACAGGGGTGGATACTTGAGCGCGTTCGGTGACGTCGTCTCGGAGGGCACCCGCTCGCACCAGCGTCCCACCTGCAGCTGGCTTCGTCTACTCGTCTGTCGCTGATGCCTTGAGCATAGAGGACAGGGAGAAGCGAAACCCCCGCGACGCCCGCGAGGTTGGGTCTTGGGAGGTGCGCAAAGACTTCCCCGAGATCCCTGGGGCCCTTCTACAGAGTGATCGGTTGCGTCTTATCCTACATGGCAAGTGGGCTTCTTTTCCGTGGATTCCCTGATCTTGCCGTCGCAAGAGTTTGTATACGTGTTCCTGCAGAGTAGGAGATAATAGCACGTCAGCGATTCTAGCGCGCGAAAGGCATCGGGCCCGCAGCTTCGGGCTCCTCGCGCAGATCAGACGCATGGCGGCCCACGCACTGGCCCGCGGCTTCCGATTTGGAATCAGGCGGCAGGCTTCAGAGCTCACCAGCAATGACGCGGGCCCCCGGCACTGCGAAACCGCGATCCCAGGAAGGGCCCCAGTCGCCTCGCGGCTCGGAGTCAGCCTGCGGACCTACCTTGGCCCGAAGGCGCACTGGCTCAAGCTCGCTGGGCCGCTAGCGCGCAGGAGCCCCGTGTGCCACTCGCATTTCACGATAGCGATGAAGCGGCGCCGAATGCTGCAGGGACCCGACTCAACGAACCGCCGAACGAGCCTGCTGGCGACGCGGGCGACGATTTCGCCACCGCCTGCAGCGGCTCTTGGGCCGACAAGGGCGCGCGCCTGGGCTCGCCCCGAGGCGCTCTTCAAGCTGCATTCCAAGGGGCCCCCGCCGTCAAAGGTCGCCGGAGGGGATCGCCGACGAGGGGCCCGCCCAGCCCGCGGCAGCTGTCGCGGCCGCCGTCGCCGCCGAGGCCGCCGACGCGGACGGCGGTGGCACTGCTTCGGCCGACGAGATGGAGGGGGCGCCGACAGGCGAGACTGGGGAGCGGCGGCAGCACGCCGTTGCGAGCCAACTGGCGCGCCCGGAAGCATTTGCAGCTCGCGGGGTCGCCGCCGCCCGCGCCGTCGGCGCTTGACGAGATGGCGGCAGGTGCGCCCGCCCAAGCGGTGCATCTTCGGGCCGCGGCGGTTCGTGAATAGCGCGCGCGAAGCAGCGGCGCACCGCCGCGCCCGCGCTCGCCGACGCGGCCCTCGTGGACTACATCAATCACCTCTTCTTCGGCGGCGAGCAGGCCTTCAGGGGGGGGAAGCTCTCGGATGCGGCGACGGCGCGGGCGCCCGACTAGCCGCGCGCCGGGCTCAGCAAGACGCCCTGGGCGCGGCGGTGCTCCAAGGGGTGGGGGCGTCGAATCCCTGGGCGGCCCCGCGGGCCAGCGCCTCTGCTGGAGCGGTGTGCCATCGCGGTGGAGCTCGCGAGGCGCGGCGTGCTGTCGATGGGGGGTGCGGTCATGATCGGCGCGAGCGGGCTGCTATTTCGGGCCGTCGGGGCTGCTCAACCTGCGGCCCTCCAACCTGATCACCCCAGCGTCGCCTGTGTCGCAGTGCCGGGGCCTCCTTCTGCATCCTTCGGCTGGCCGCAAGCGGAGCGCGACGGGCGACGCCGACGAGTCTCCATGATCGACAAATCGTACATGCTCGCCTGGATCTGCGAATTCCCCCAGGCTTTGAGGGGCGAAGGCGGCCCGCTGCGGCGCTTCGACTATCCGACCTTCTTGGCTGAGTTCAAGACCGCGCCGAAGACGCCAGGCATGCCAAACCTTTTGGCGTACCAGACGCGCCACTCGGGCCCTTCGATCGACCGCCTGAAGCCCGCTCGAATCCAGGGGGGGCCCAAAAGAGGGGGCCGTGAGCAAGCTGAAAGTGTCGCCAGGTACGAGAAGCCCACCCGGCTCGGCACCTTCTGGAACGACCTGGCCGTGGCCGCGCAGGTTCACGTGCGTTTCTGCGAGGATCGCCTCGCTGAGCTCCCCTGGTCGCCCGAGCGCGCGCCCATGCTTCCGCCCGTCCGGAGCTAGCTAACGGCGTGGCTTACATGGCCGACACCATCGCGGGGCGCGGCAAAGTTCGGCGCGAACGAAATGGGCACGGAAAGAATGGGCACACTGCCCAACGGCGGATCCTGTTCATTTTGAGCAGGACTCGCTGTCCACGCCGCCGCGGCCTGTGTCCATTCGAGACAGAAGGCCGCCTGCCCAACAGCGTCCGCTGTCGGTTTGGGACAACATTTGTTGTTGGGCATTGTACCCATTCTTTCCGTGCCCATTTCGGGCGTCCAAAAAAGTGGGACGCAGGGTCACAAAGCTTGGGTTATCGGCAAAGGCCTGGGATATGATGCGCGCTGCTCAGCGCAACCTCACTCGCCCAAGAGTGCCTCGCATATGTCTATCATACATATGCGATGGAAAAGTGTTTTTCGCTACGCTCGCTCTGCCGTTGCATCGCTGATATAAAACTTTTGAGACGCGCAGCCGCGGGGCACGGGCCTCGCCAGCGCTTCTGACCGTGATCGTGAATCCCTGGAGAATGACAACAAGATAATTCACGCGGTAATGCGTATTCCCAAACATCTCAATCGATATGCGTTGTTGGGGGATGTTTTAGAGCATGTTCGTACGTCTCGGCTCTGGCATGCACTTGAGACTCTCTATCAACTCAGTTCATGCTGAGTGACGCCTGACGGACTTCTTCCGGCGGGGTGCGCCGCGGAGGAAGAGGGCGCGGCTCGGGCGCGGCAGCACGGGCGTCGAGGGTTCGGCACCCTTGTTCAAAGCTTGCTTTGGAAAAAGGATGACTGCGCTGTCGCGCGAACCGCCATCGCATCGAATTGGGCGACCGCAGTGGCAGCGGCGCGTTCTTTGCTCTTCTCGTGGCCGGGTATCCTTCGTTTTCAGAGCTGATCGTGAGGATGTCTTGAAAGAGACGTTTGTGTTAGTACCCCAACGGGGAACCGCCAGGGGGGGACAGTTGCCCGTTCGCGGCCAAATTGTTAGAATGTCACGAGCGAGGCGCTCGTTTCATGGCTGGGACTCGGCTTTCAGACTAGATCGTGGAGATGTCTCGAGCGAGTCGAACGAAACGCTGGTTTAGGCACCCCCGACCCCTCGCCTCTGAGAGCCCCAAGAGCATTCCGATATAGCGGGCGTACCAGTCGGGCACTCCAAGGAGGAGCCGCCTGTGATCGCCCAGTCGCCACAGGCTAACATTCTTTCACTCAGACACTCGGAAGCACCAGGAACTGAGATGCAGATATGAGGATATCCTCGTCGAGCAACTCCCAGATGCGATGGACATCGCGCCCCAAGCCGGGTGGCGCATACTTTTCTGTTTTCGGGACGCAGCATGACAACCATGGAATGGTTATTGCCACTGGCCGTTACACTTGGCAACACCGTGCTGGCTGGAAGCGAACAGCGAAGTGGAAGGGAACGTCCTGGAAGGACGGAAGATAGCCTCCTGGCGGAGAGAACTTCGAGGAGCCCGCTGGGCCCAGCACGTGGAAGCGTATCGCGCACACAGATTGGATTCGTGTGGCCTCGCGGGCACTCATTTTGCGGATGGGCGTGCCCAAGCAGAGAGAAATTGCGATGCGCTAAGTACCATGCGCCGGCAGGCGTGCACCGAGCCAGTCGTGGTCTTGCGGGCGGCGCACCCGCACCAGGCCAAGGACTCCATTGGACATGCGCGGAGGCGGCGCGGTAGCGATTGGTGGGCTAACCAGCCGCTTCCGATTGAAAGGCCTTGCCGTCTTCCGCCGGGTGGCAGCACCGCAGGGCATGCTGCGCCAGGCTTGGGCGACCTCCGGGCTGGCCCTCTTGGAGGGCAATGGGGACATCATGTTCTGAAGAAGGCAAAATGCCGTGGTGGATAATCGAGAGTCCTTGGTGGCCTGGAAGGGAAGAGACCACGCCTTCACCGCCGTGGTACCTAAAAGAAAAAATTGATGGGGGCAAGAAGAAGGTACATGCAGGTCGTGCTTTTGTCGTGGAAACCGTGGATCATCATGATCGCTGGCATGTACTTTGTGCAGAATGTCGCCACTGCACCAGTATAACGACCATGGAGGCAGAACTGATGGCTTGCGAGCTGCTGATTCGGAATTTATTCGAAGCTGGCGCATGCCAGTCTTGACCGGTGGAGGGCGTTATTGTCTGCACGTTTACAGCAACGTTTTTACACAGATGGGCAGCATAGTCATGTGGTAACCGTCGGTCAAATCAAGTCAACAGAATCATCGCTTTTCTCAACCATCATAAACATCACCATCCTCATCGTCACCACAACCGCCATCATCATCACCATCAGCATAATCATTACCATCATCATCGATCGCTCTTCCTACCCGTTCTCCTCGCTTCTCCTATCGTCCTCCATGCTTGCTCCTCTCGCTACTCGCTCCTGCCCCTGCTCGCTCTTCGTTCCTCCTCCCTGCACCTCCTCCTCTTAGCTTTACCTCCTCCCTCCTCGCTCCCTCTCAGCCTGGCAGCGTTGCCCACGGCTCAGGTCGTCAGCAGCGTGGGCATCGAGGAGAGGTCGAACTTGAAGAGACAGGAGGCTGGCCGGCGTGGGAGGAGGAGGAGGAGGAAGAGAAGTCGGAGGAGCAAGGGAGGAGGAGGATGAGGTGTGCGGGGACGAAGACGAGGGCTAGGACAAGGAAGGGAATCACGATGAGAAGGGAGAAGGGACTTTGTGGAGGATTCGGGGAGAGAGAGAGAGAGAGAAGAAGAAGAAGAAGAAGAAGAAGAAGAAGAAGAAGAGAGTGATACACATATATATAGAGAGAGATAATAATAGTAGCAATCTGGAAAAAAGTACAAATAAACAACAAAACCCATACCAATAACAAGAGAGGCAGGGAGAGAGAGAGAGAGAGAGAGAGAAACAAAAAAAATTAAAAAAAACGCACATACACATTTTCCTGTACATAAGAGAGATAGAGAGACTTGCAGCTCGGCTAAGCAAATATCAAGCACAACTGCCATTGAGCTCCTGGTGCGAGTGCGCATGGCATGACAATCATGGTTCTGCCGCCCTCCTGTGCCACCTAGTATTTCGGACGACAGCAGCAGCACAGCACGCCTCATACAACCGAAATCTGGCATCCCATTGTTTTGCGGCGTAAGTTCCACGCACTCTAACAAGAGCCGGTGGGATTGACAGATTCCTTATCAGACCGTCTTCGCCTTTTCGACGGAACCATCACACCCACCGTTCCTTGCGGTTGCGAAACCTCGACACGTACGACCGACTTTGGAAACCGATTGCGCCGCTCGCAACGGCAGATGTTTCGCATGATTCTGAAGCTGCTGAGGTGCGCGACCGTAACCAGCAGCTAACAAACACCACAAGCAGTTGAGGTCAACACCAGCACCGACGAACAACACGATTCCACCCACCAGCACTCCAACAACGTCGACGAATGCGACGTAGACAGTGCGCACCATGCTTCCTGTTCATAATGACGAAGCTAAAGCACATAGTTTGGAACTGTGAGCACAACTTGTAAAACGAGCCTTTCGCACAGCAGAGCGGCAATGGAAAGGCTGCACATCACAGATTGCGCTTCCAAATTACGACTACGACAATGGCATTGGATGTGGAAATTGGCTAACGCCCGCGAGCAAGAGGGACACGACCGGCACCCAAATGATGGAGGCCAGACGACGACCTGGTCTGTGGTGCGAGACGGAGGGTGGAGAGGCCGAAGTCCAGATGGGTCGGCGACGTCTGATGCTATGTTGGATCCAATATTCCACTGGGCGAAATGAGCAGATCTCAACAGATCAGTGGGGCACCACTGCGCTGCATTTCGCAGCGGACTACAGTCGGGGCGCTGAAGGAACCCTTTTCGTTGGGGAGGGGCTCGGGGTTCCTTGATCGTTTAACAGTTTGCCTCAGGTTTTCCTGAGGTCTTCCATGGGAAATCGAAGTTCAACTTATGGGAAGCAGGGGCCTCGTTCCTTATTTAGGGTTCCTTAAGTCAACGCCCCGACTGTACAAGGGAACAGGCCCAGCGACTACTGCAGGATCCCGCCGCCCCGGCGCCGCACCAGCAGATACCCTGGGTTGTGCCCGTGCGCGGGATCGCTTCGCGCTTCGTGGCCTGAGAGAGGGGACCAGGAGGATGGAGGTCTTGGCATCGCTCGCACGTGTGCATCTTTCTTTCGGCGAGGACCAGCGAGGAGCATCCTTGATCATTTGGCGAAAAGACCACGCACGAAACCGAAAAAAACACAGGGAATGGACGTCCGAGCGATGGCCAGAGGTGGAGAAGGAGAGAGACACATGAGGGAGAGAGACAGAGAGAGAAATAGAGAGAGAGAGACACACAGCGAGAGAAGGGATAGGGACACAGCACATCTAATAGAAGCAAATCCCCCCCCCGGGAGCGTCCCCCCCCTCTGTGACATGATCATGGGGGCAACTCCCGGTACCGCGCCCCTGGGGAGGAGGAGACGGAGGCGGAGGCGGAGGCGGCGGAGGCGGAGGCGGAGGCGGAGGCGGAGGAGGAGGAGGAGGAGGAGGAGGAGGAGGACCAAAACGCCCCGGGACGGCCAAAGACGCCCCCAAGGAGCCCGCAGAGCGCGAGAGGACGGCCCAAGGCGCTCCCAGGCAGCCCCAAGACGGGCCTCCGACGGCAGAGGCCCCAAGAGAGCTCCGAGAGGCGTCGGGAGCGCCCGAAGAGGCCAAAATCGTTGATTGTCATTGCTTGTGCTGCTGTCTTTAGTCTTCTCGCAGTCTCGAGCTTCCAGCGCCCCAGGACGGCCGCAAGGAGGCCCCCAAGCCCGCCGCAAGACCGCCCAAGGAGCCCCCCAAGGCGGCTCCGAGACGGGCCAGGAAGACCCCCCAAGGCGGCCCCGGAGCGCCCCGAGGCCGCCCCAGAGAGCCCCAGGATGGCCCGAAAAGCCGCCCAACAGGGGGAACGCGAATCGACAATCCTGGCTTTCCGCTCCAAGAGGCCCCCATCGGGGGCGGAAAAGAGGGGGGTGATGACTAGGGGGGGGTGGATATCATGGCGGGGGCCATGATATTTCCTCAGATTTCATGGCGCCTCTTCTTATTTTATTACGTCCCTGGCCCCCCCGCTGGGCCGCGCACATGCCGTCGGTCATGATTTGCACCCCCCCCTCTTGGACACCCCCCTCTTGGCCGCTCCCGACCCCAGGAGCCCCCAAGAGTCCCCCAAAGAGCCTGAAGAGGCCCCCAGGAGCCCCGAAGAGGCCCAAAAGTGGCCCCCAGAGGCCCCGGAACTGCCACCCAGCGGCCTCCAAGCTGCCTCCCAAGAGTTCCCTGCGCGCCTCTTAGCCCCCCTCCGATGCCTGCGCACTACATGTTAGGAGGTCCCAAATCCAGTAATTGTATGTGTTTGCTCAAATTCATCCCGAGCCCCATCAAGACTTCGGGGTCATCACATTGCACAGATTGTTCGGGAATGCTGTCGAACTCTCTGACGCTGTCATGGCACTCTCTTGGGTCGTCTTCGTGTCCTCTTGGCTGCCCCTGCAACCACAGTAAAAATCGAGATCCTATCAGTTCACCTGTCCAGCCTAGCTAGAACGTCAGCGCGCGCGCCAAGAAAGAGACGAAAGAGAGGACCTGCCCAAGCCTTTCGAGCGCGTTGCCTCAAGATGGCTCCAAGGTTCTCGCAAAGGTTCTCGAGGCTCCCCCCAGATGCCTTTAGAGACTCCCGGGAGGCTCCCAGGAGGCACCAAGAGCTTCCCAACAGGCCCCGAAAAACTCCCAAGAGGCCGCCAAAAGGCCCCCAGAGGCGTCCCAACAGTCCACGGCCTGTATCCAGGAAACTTCTGACCCACGGCCCAGGCATGGCAATTTGAAAAAAAAAGTGGATTCCAAGAATTCTTTTTGTTTCAAACTTACCCCTGCTTATTTTTGCACAACAGACCATAACTAAGGCTCCTGTCACCACCGAAGAAAGATCCCAGGAAGCCTTCGAGCGCCCCAAATCATCGAACACGTAAGGAAATTGATGATGTTGTGGTTTCCGCATGTCTCCTTCTATGCGCTTCCGAGGCTTGCGCAGGGACTCCAAGAAGATCGTTAGACGCACAAGGCACTTCAACGATTGAGATTCCATGCGTTAGCCTGTCGAGCCTAGCTAGAACTTGAGCGCGCGCGAGGCGCGCGCGATGGTTCCAAAATACATATATATATATATATATGCACACAAATTTACACATACCTATTCAGAGGGTATACCGGGTGCCTTGCCTTGACAACATATCGTTTTCTGTGCTCCTGACCCCCTCCTTCTGCGGCCTGCCAGGCAGGCGCGAGTCCAACCTCCAACTTCTGGCAGGCCCATTTCCAACATATGTTCAGGGTGTACTGGGCGCCGAGTGGAAGCTGCGGTGGCGGAGCAGGATGAAGAAGACACGAGCATGTCAACACGAGTGCTATGATGAGGCTTATGATAACAATGTGTGAGGATAGAAGATGCCTAGGAATATACGGATAAGGATAATGATGTTGCTGATGATGGTGATGATGCTGCTGATGAAGAAGATTATGATGGTGGTGCCGATGATGATGATGGTGGTGGTGATGACGATGATGCTGATGACGATGGTCATGCTTATGATCATGATGATGCTGACGGTGAGGCGGGTGATGACGATGATGATTACGTTGCTGATGGTCATGACGAAGATAACAACAATACCGATGATGATGATGATGATGATGATGATGCTGATGATGGTGATGATGGTGATGATGATGATGACGATGATGATGCTGATGATGATGATGATGTTGATGGTGATGATGATGCTAGTACTGCGAATGATGACGGTGATGTTGATGACGATGATGGTGGTAATGATGATGATGATGTTGAGGACGATGATGATGATGATGATGATGATGATGATGATGATGGTGATGATGGTGGTGGTGGTGGTGGTGATCATGGTGATGGTGATGGTGATCGTGATCGTGATGGTGGTGGTGGTCATGATAATGACGGTTTTGAGGATGAGGCGTAGGAGATGGAGGAGGAGGAAGAGGAGGAGGAGAAGGAGGAGGATACGGAGGAGGAGGAGGAGGAGGAGCTGCAGCAGGTTGAAGAGCCAGAGGAAAAGGATCAGCACGATAAGGAGAGTGATCAGACCAGATAGCGAGACCAGAAGGAGAGGGATCAGACCAGACCAAAGGGATCAGCACGAGAAGGATCAGTACAGGGGAGGAAGAGGAGGAGGAGGAGGAGGAGGAGGAGGAGGAGGAGGAGGAGGAGGAGGAGGAGTTGATGAGACGGAGGAGGGCGACGAGTCAGAGGAACGATGACGGGGACGAGGAGAAGAAGGAGGGCAGGAGAAGGAGAAGGACGAGATGAGGCGGAGGAGGATGAAGAGGAGGAGGGTGTAACCATTGCATCACTTTTCTCTGGATGCAGGGCGGCAGGCGACGGCTCAAGCTCTCAACCGCACTACGTGCAAACGCTGCTCCCTTCCCCCCACCTCCCCTCCTTTGCCCCCCCCCCGCCTCCCAGGCTTCCCCCTGGCCGCTCCAAACAGCTCGTGGGGGAACGAAAGAGC